AATGGAGGGCGATAGAAAGAAGCAGGGCTTTTTGACCAGTTAGAATTATTTATATTTGTAAGGCACAATAACTTTATGACTTTGTAAGTAAAATTTTGAGTTTGGGCCTCACATGTGTTATCATAAGACTTTTTATTCTTTTCTCGGTGATTACTAAAGATAATTGAGATTTTTTGAATGTATACAAACATTCATTGGGTATTTGTTTTATTTACTTAGGCTTCTATAAAAACTGACAGAGATTGGATGGTTTATAAACAACAGAAATTTATTTCTCACAGTTCTGGAGGCCAGGAAGTCCAAACTCAAGACTCTTGTTTGGTTCATGGTGAGGATGCTCTTCCAGCTGTACATGGCTGCTTCTCCCACAGCCTTCTAAACACCAAGGGGAAGGAAAGTCTCTCTGTGCACATGTATAAGGGCCTTGTTCTCATCATATCATCATCTTCTGAAGGACCATCTCTTAACATTATTACCTCAGAAGTTAGGATATCTACATATGACTGGGGCACAGGGGCATAGGCATTCAATGCCTTGCATTACTGCACCATGAGACAAAATGTACTCTACAATGAACATTTTCAGTGTTAATTACAAGTGACTAATGTCCCCCATTTCTTTTGTTACAAATATTTTTTTTACAAGCTACAGTTCCTTTTTGTCACTTTAAAATCAGGGGTGCCTGAATAACAGTCTATTTCAATAAGAACCATAATCGCAGTTGTTTAAATTCTTTGTCCAATTTTCTTAAAGTTACAAAATAACAAAAAATAATTCAAATCAGAGAAACTTGAAAATCTTGACATAATTGATGTAACACTCCAACAAAGAAAGCTCTAGGAGTTCTGATAAATTTTTATGCCATTATTTTACTTTTCTTCTACAAATTTTTACCTAATTAAAATGTTAATATCAAACCATATTTCTTTTTATTCATAAACTCCATAAATATATTTTATTGAAAAATGTAATTTACTTCCTTTAAAATCTGTGTCCAGCCTTATGTATATTACTTGTATCTCACTTTTTGCCCCTAAGACAATGCTGTAATAGATAAAATGTTTTAAAGTGCTAACTCCAAGCCCTAGGGAATAATGAGAGCTTCCATATAGTATTCCATTTTTCAAAGCAAGCATATGTGTTGTGTGATTATGCATTGTATTTTCTAAATACCTGGTGCCAATTTGCAATGTCATCTGTTGCATAACATGGTGCTACTTCCACTGTTTTCTCCAGTGCTGAGTACTATCTTTATTATTGTTTTACTTTAAGTGGGTAAGTGACGTAGCCTTTCAGTTTTGTGGAGATTTTAGCAAATGAAGCGAAAACATTTTTAACCTAATTAAAGTTCTTCTTTTGTGAAGTTACTCTTCTGTTTGTCTATTGTATGTCTAGTAACATCTCATTGTTTTTATTATTCACTTGTATGAGCACTTGCTTAAGAATTTAAGTCATCATTTAGCCACACAATCTTGCTTTTCTGATCTAGAATGGCTTAAGAATCTTTTCCCTAGAGGTGTAATCGCCTTGCTTCCATAGGAGGGGCTAGTGTTACTTACACTGATGCACTTCATACAAATATTGATCAATTCCCTGTAAGGCTTGTCTAAGGTAACTTCATTTCAATCTTTTTTTGAGTCTGGAAATTTTCTGTTATCCCATTTTAATCTTCTGAAGGACAAATCAAAGTATCTTGTTAAAACAAAGACCAACAGCTTTTGATAATAATCTTGAAAGGGCTGAACTATTTTAAACTTGGATAATAATGATCTTATTATAGCTGCCTGTGGTTACTTAAAGTCGCAGGTGTTAACAGCTGACGGCAATACAGATGTACCTGTGTTGAACCGTAGATCACAGAAATTAGACTGGCTGCTATTTCAAGCACTTTCTAAGCTTCTACTTCTTAATGATCTCTGAGGCTTATAAGCATTTTCAGCTTGTGTTTATCTGAGTATTTATTGATTAACAGAAAAATAATTTTCTGTATCTTCTGGTGTGAAGTTGTCACTGTGGCAGAATCCTCAGGGTTTATTTTAAAACACTTATTTGGGATGTTGTTATTATACTTCAGAGGTCCACAAAGAAAGAAGCTCAGTTTAATTTTCCAAATAACACATTAATTTACAGTATGCTTTGATCATTATACGTATATTAGAAAGTATATTTGTTGAAATGAGATTTAAATTTCATTGATCATTCTGTAATTATATGAATTGATCTGCATTTAATTAGTTATTTTATTATATTATAAATGAGAAAATTTATCATAGTAATACCACGTGGGTCATGAAAAAATCAATTCCTTGGAGATAACCTATTCTACCATAGTGATTATCATTTTTCTAAGGATAAGAGCTCCTGCTTTTTTTCGAAGTGTATGATGTGTTAGAGACTGATCAAAGGTAAATATACATATTTTTTTTCTATTTTTGGAAAACCTATATGAGTAAGGTCTATTATCACTATGTTATACCTACTGACTTTGACACAAAGATGTTAACTAAGTTACCCAAGGTAATGTATTCAGGAACATTAAAGAAAGTTAAGGAAGGTATTGGTGCAGTATCTGAAACAGTAATTTAGAAAAAAATAGAAGTGTATTTGTTTTTACATAGGTTCCTATTTTTATTTTGAGTTTTATTGAAACAATAATGTATAATTCTAATAATAGGTAAGAAGATTTAGATTCTACAGGACTAAAATGTATGGCCAATGAATTGCATGTGAGTGTGTGTGTGTGTGTGTGTGTGTGTGTGTGCGTGCGCAACTTATGTACTAACTCCCAAGACACATTTCTCATATATATGTTTATATATATATTTAAGAGACTGAATAAAATATTCTCATTAATTTTAGGATCATTAGTGTGCTTCTTGAATATTAGAACACCAATCAAGTATGGAATCTATTATATAATGCCCAATCACAGTGCAATCCTTGCTTTCCTAAGCAAAATTCTGTATAAGTTTAAAAAACTGCACATTCTTTCATGCAGGGAGATATTTGTATTTTGAGATCACATCATCATTTTTTTCTCACTAAAATACAATTGAATACACTTGTCAACATGTAATATTTATTATTTGTTGAGCAGCACTCATACAATTAACACACACATGCAGACTTCCTCTTGTACTAGTAGATATCAGCACATCAAGGTAATTGTGCTGTTAATAACAATTACAGTCTAGTGAAACACTGTCATTCATTATGTGCAAATTATTAAAAAAATAGAAAGGAATCATCTTCCTCTCAAGAAATCAGTCTAAGAAAGGAGGACAAACCTTCTTTAAAGGGCCAAACAGGAAATGTTTTAACTTTTCACACCAGAGTGTACGTGTAACACCTACTCAACTATATCCTAAGAGTGTTAAGCTACAAACAAGTAATAATTGTTTCTGTGTTCCAGTAGAATTGTGTTTACCAAACTAGCAATGAGCTGGATGGGCCCATGAGGCACAATTTGCTTACCTCTAGTCTGAGTGCTAGGACAGAAGCAGTATGAAAGTTAACTTTTTTAAAGATTTCAGCACTCCTTTAAGATATTAATGAAATAAAGCTAAATATAAAGAAATTTTATGATCTACCCAAATATAGATGTTTTGACTACTCTTAAAGTATTTTAATTTAGTATAACTCTGACTTTCAGTACATCTACAGTTAAAATAATCATTTGTCCTATTCTTTAAAATATATTAGCATCATAAAGAGTCAAATTGAAAATGAATGTCATAGTATCTATTCTGCTTCTTGGACTCCATTATTGATAGTCAAATCTTCAGATACATTAAAATTTCAACTTTTCTATCACAACTACTCAACTGTACCATAGCAGTATAAATAAAGAATTCATAAACAAGTAATGAATGTCAATGTAAATATATTCTGGTAAAATTGTATTTACCAAAACATGTGGTGAACTGGATTGGACCTATGGGCTAATGCTTAAAAGTTTATTTCTCCTTTGAAAAAGATCCATTAGAATTTGATTGAAAACACTTATCTGTCTTCATTAGCATTTGCAAATTTATTGAATATTTACATTTTATTTTCTTCTTGTTTATTATGAAATAGAGTATATATATTTCAAATAAGGTTCAAAATACACAGATTTTAACCAGAAGACTAAATCTGCTAGTATATGGTATTAATGAGCTCACTTTAAAGTTCTCTTGAAATCACTTTATATGAACATGCTATTCATAAAAAAATAAGAGAAAATGAATTCATTGAGCCACTAAATTCTATGCTGTAGTCTGCCATCAGTCTATGTGGTTTTAATCAAAAATTTATTTTATTTAACAATTTATTTAATTTTATCTAGACTTTTTACTAAGAATATGTGGAAAATTAAAATCAATCTTTAGCATTGACATATCCAGAAAAGTACATGTATTTTGCTTTTTCTATGTAGCTAAGGCTCTGAAAATATTTGGAGGTGTATTTTTATAATCTGAAATTATAAATTTAAATTGGTGAACTTCCGTAGGTAATTAGAGACATTACATAAGCACAGAACTTTTAATAGACTGTAAGTAATACCACTGACATAAAAAATCAGTGGGTCAAATGAATAAGACCTTCTTCTCACTGTAAACTTGCAGGATATATGCAAATTGTATCTTTAAAAGTCTATTTAGAAAGTCTTCCAAATATAAATTTTGAGGGAATTTCTGAGGAAAGATATTTAGATGGGCATACTTCTTTATTCGTGCGTCTCTGTTACTTGCACACAATTAATTCAAATGTATTGGCTCATACTTCCAACTGAATCCTAATTTTAAGTAAAAATAAATATCTAGTACAGTTCTGTACTTCTTAAATCCATAAAATGCTTCTTAAATTAAAAGGCATTGCAAAAGAACTTGCTGTCTGAATTGAGGGATTTTGCTTTTGAAGGGTGAAGCTGACCCCTGAGTGAAATCCACAGTGTCTTTATGCTGTATCTGAGGGACTGGGATCTCTTCTTATCTTGGGCTCTCTTGTTTGCTTTTCAGTTGCTGCGAATGTGGCTGTGGGAGGGCTTCTTCCCTGTGCGCTGTTGCCCATCCAAGCCTAATATGGTCAGTGTTCCCTCCCGTCTTCACCCCTCTGTGATGTCCACCGTTCTGTATAACCGTCAGCATCTTTTCTTTATCCATTGTGTACATTCTGACAGTCGGTGCACCAGTTACGCTTTAACAGTGAGGAGATGGAAATGATTCCTGAAGGTTAATCCTAATAAGTGATTTCACAGTGGATTAAAGTAAGATATTATGCGTACAGCACATCATCCCTATGTCAAGCATTCATACTTATGTTCTGAGGCTTTTACATGGTTCTCATTTGAGCTAGGAGGTTATAAGATTATAACATCCATTCTACATTTAGCATGTCACTGTTTTTGTTGTTCCATTCAGCATATCACACATTGAAGTAAAATGCTAAGTTAAATCACCTTTTATGTCTCTCAGATCCATGGAATGACCATGTGTAACTGGGATCTTTCCCTGTCATAATCATTGTGGATACATGTGACACTGAATAAAACCACATGTAATTTTTAAGTGGTTTGCTTCATTGTATTAAGTTTTAATTATTTCAGATATCTGAAGTGATATTCCTATTTTGATACCACTGATGTAAAAAATGCATCTATATAATCAGTGTCCAAATGAGACAACCTTAATTATTTATAAATACAAATTTTAAATGTACATCAAGGCTATCATTATGATACCAAAGACTAGAATCTAGGATATGAGAACTCTATTCACAGATTTAGAGAGACTTCCATACAATAGTGAGTTACCTTGTAAAAAGTGAAACACTCTAAATGATTGCTTTGTAGATTAAAGAGTGTAAATCCTTGGAGAACCATTCTGAGTTTTTTAGTCAAAATTTGCCAAAAAAAGAGACCACTTAAACTGCATTTTAGAGAATAGCAAGGTTCTATTGAGGCATTTTAAATTGGTACTTGTGTTATATGGTTATAAATTAATTTTGGTGGATTAAAACACCTGGTTGTGTGAATGAGTGTGCACCCATGTGCACATGTGGGACATGGTGGGATGGATGCAGTCAATCTTCTAAGAAAGCCACAGAATGATGTAATTCAGAGGTATTTTAATCTCTTGAAAGTTTGTATTTTCACATAATCTTTAAATTACTAGGTAAGTGCAGATTTGTTCCAGATTATTTAATTTATATAGGGAATTCTCACATGCATGGAGCTTCAGTGATGAACCAATAAAAACTGAAATCTAGATATTCCTAAAGTGTAAATTAAGTAACTTTACATTGTCATTTTACTGTGCTATGACAAGCTAAAAAATGACTGGTCTACTTCAGTCTTAAGTATAATTGTTATAGGAGACAAATTATCACTAAAGTGGAATATGCAGAATTTACATTTTTTTTAAAAAAAATAGAGATTGACATCCAAGCCTACCTTGAAGTAAGTTCAGAAAGATATAAGTGGGAGTGTGAAGATTTATGAAAACAAAGCTTAAAAAGTAATGCCAAAGATGCCCTATAACTAAATTGAAATATTTAATTTTTAAAATACTATCTTTTTCTACTCTCTAGTTGGAAAGAAGGAAAGTGGGAAGGCACTTTCTTTGCAAGGAATACACACAAAAAATATAAAACTTTAAAAAAATATTTCCTCAAATATTGTTAGGAATTGTGCAGAAAATGCAAGTTTAGTCTTGTGCATGTGTACTTGTGAGTATGTGTGTGTGGTGTGTGTGAGTATGTCTATGTGAAAAGAAAATTATTTAGCTACAAATGCTCTTACACACTCAATAAAATGCTGAGTCTTCGTGGGAAGATTTATGGAAGAACTGGGAAATCTGAAATCTTGTTACCTAATTTGTAAGCTTGATCATATCTGCCAATTACTATGCAAATAATTTTCAAAGAACATTATTATCATCATCATTTATGAGCAGACATATTTGCAATTAATTATAGAGGAGAGATTTGTAAACATTTTCAATCTTGTACTCTTGTTTGTTTCTTAAAAGATCACTCATGAATGTATGTGTGATTATTTCTGACCTTAATATAATATGATGCATATGCATTACATATGCCCATTGTCAACTCAGTAGCTTTTAGAAATATCTTGACTCTTTGTGAAAACACACTATGTGGACATGAGATTTTAACACCCTTGATTAGATCTGTGGTCCTGTTATGTGAAAGCTTGCTCGAAGTTCTGAGGTTCTTACTTTTGTTTTGTCATCATTTCCCAACAGAAAACCACATGCCAGCATTTTCACAGTGTGGTGTAACATTTATAAAATTAAATTTGTACTTATATTTACTATATTTGTTCCTTGATCTCAAATTGTTTTTCATCGCTGTAGTTACCTGTTTTGTTATGACATCCATAGACATAATGCTAGTTTTTCAGATATTTCTGCTTTGACTGAAATCTGAGTGCAAGAAGCTATATCTAAATGAAACTCAGATGCCTAGATTTTGAGCACACTGTCTCCAAGATTTCTCACATTTTTAGCAGAGATTTCTTCATCAGGGGAAAACGGCCTTTCCCTCTATGCCATCACAACTGGCTTGAGACTCAAATCGTTATGTCACTTCGGAAAAGATACATTTTATAAACAAGAATGTTGAATTATTTATTTGTAAATAGTTCCTGTTTACATTAAAATAAATATAATAAAATATAAAGTAATAAAATGTATAGTTTCTAAAATAATATAACCATTTATGCCTGAATGGTCACTTGTGTTTATGCTTACAGACACCAGTACATATTTACAGCATAATACTTATTTATTATAAGTCCATCTGAACATCCCATATGCCATAGTAGCCAATCTTTGTTTTTCTTTTTTTTTTTTTTTTTTTGGTACCAGGGATTGAACTCGGGGTCCTTGCGCTTGCGCAGCAGGCGGCGAAACCACTGAGCTAAATCCCCAGCCCTATCTTTGTGTTTCTTAAGTGCAAACACATGTCTGATCTTTTCTTTCTTTTGTTCTTTTACTTTCCAGTGTTTTCATATCCTTTACTACTTCAAAGGGGAAGGGAAAAGGAATTCAATATTTAAAAATTGGAGGTCTTTAGTGTTTATTCCATTCATTTATCAATCCCATGTAGAAAATCATTCATTTTTAAAGAAATTAACTTTCTTGTTTTAAAAAATTTTTGAACATTGACCTAAGAGATGAATTGTAGCTCATTTTAATATAGATATTAAAATTTCTCAAAAAGTAGAAGTTAAAAATAAAATTTGTCTGATGAAACGGATCACGAGTTCTCTGAATATTAGCTTTCTTTTTTTAAGAAACTCTTTTCTTTCTTTACATGAACTGTTAGTTTCTTGAAATAGGTAGAAAAGCTTTTATTCTTACAAAAACCTTACAGATACAGATTTTTAAATTTATCCTTGGATGATAGCTGCTAGGGAATTATGTGTAAGTACTCTCCCATTTATGAAGCACAAAAGTGGCTTAAATAAGAACACCCCTCTTTGTAATAATTCTAGTCTCCTGTTTGAAGTACTTAGTGGCAGGCAGCCATGAATGATGATTAAAATAAGAGTGAGTAGATTCAGTTCCAACTGAAGGCTCGCTATGTTCAATATATGAACTGATCCAATATCCTTCTCTTTAATGACTGTAGAATCTCAGATTATGAGATTATGCTATGAGCATCCATGAAATAGTTAAAAATTAACAGGAAATTACCCACTATCACATTAGGAGAAACTTGACTGAATGGAAGTTAGGGGCCCAGAAAGCTATACTCTCATGATGTTGCATATAATTATGACATTACTCCCATAGGCAGGGAGCAGGTTGCTTTTTCCATATGACTACATTTAATTTAAGAATGACTGAATGTTTTCAATATTTAATAACAGATTAATTACGGGGTTTTTTTTGTTTGTTTGGTTTTTGGTTTTGGGGTTTTTTTGTATGAGGGATTGAACTCTGGACCTTGCATTTGGGAAGCAGGCGAGGCGCCACTGAGCTAAATCCCCAGCCCTGATTAGTTGTGGTTTTTCTACTTAAATCTATAGAGAACTCCAAATCTCGTATCCTTGTATTATAAATAAGGAAAATATGAAGGAGAGGCATAAGGTTCTGCTAGCAAGACAGCCTAAATATCCTCTGTCCCATATTTAGTGCATAGTTACTCACATTTTTATTGAAGAATGCTGTCCCATAAAACAAACTTTAATCTATTTCCAGTATTTATTACATAGACTAAGAACCTAATATTGATATGCTTCTTTATTTTATGAGGCTTAGCTGAGCTTTTATTTAAACTACTTTTTTTAATTGAAGGGAATCTTGAAGTGCAAAAGTGGGCAGAAGTATTTTCTCAAAAACAACTTATTCTCAGGATTCTAGTAATAAAATTCTTTAAATAAAATATTATGCAAAAGTAATTATTAGGTTAGAAAAAAAGTAGGATGCATATATGGAGAATTGTGATTCTACAAGAATCTAAATTTAGTGTTTCTATTTTCTATGAGCAGAACATGTAGATGTTAAGGTTTGCTATAATTTGATGCTTTTTGAACGTCTTTGCTTTAGGAAATATATTTCTTAATTAATCTGAAAAATAGAGGAAAAGCACAGGAGAGTCTATGTCATAGCCAAACAGTGTAGATGTTCATTCTTTTAAAGAAATCAAAATTCTGTACCATTGCCCCTTTCCACTATTGCACCCTACTCCATCTTATATAGACTAAAATGAAAAAAAAATCATTCAGTATTAATTTCTGAAATCAAAAACAATGGAAAAATCTGACTGCTTACAGGCTATCTTGGAGTAAGGCTTTGCACTCTTTTTGACTATGCCATTCACTCATCTTTCTGCCTTGCACACAAGAGTGCCATTTGGTAAATTACTAATACTACGCAATGCTTGTGCTCTGAAGTGCTTGGTGTTCATAATCTAAATTTACTATGAAATCTTAAATTTATCAGCAGAATTAAATTTTTCACTGCCACCTCCATCCATACATAAAGACTACTATTTACTATTTCATGTATTATAGAAATATCCAACTTTAGACGTGGTGACTGGGGCCAAAGTTTTAAAATAGCATTAATATTACAAGGAGTGATTTCCCCACCTCCTTAGGATAGGCATAGAGAAAATGGATTCATTTCTTAATTACCCATAGGGTCATTACTATATTTATGTAACAAGACTCTCTTTAGGATTTTTTAATGAATATGTTATACTTTTATATAATTTCTCATGTCCATTTCTATTACAAGAAATAAAACCACATTTTTTAGAACATGAGTATACATGATGAGAAAAGCAAATTTATCCAAAAGCAAATTCTGTATATATTTTTAGTACAATTATTTAAAAGCTTATTAGAATTATGGCATGAAGCAAAATGAGGAAACTCTTTTCCATTCAGAAAAAAATATTTTCAGAAAGTTAGAGCCATCACTTATGCACAGAATGACATTTTTATTGACTGTTTGTTTGATTGATTAAAATTATGCATCTGGAGCAGCTACAGATGCTACTGAATGAACGTGCTTCCTTTCAACACTTTGTTAATGAGGCTGAATCGCTGCTCTAGGGCCATTCTCCGCCAGCTGTACTTTCTCTCGCCGTGTCTTGTGGAGGCATGTTTGAATGATGCTTTGCAGGGTTCAGAACTTAATGTTATACGTTAATGAGGCATGCAGCCATACATGTCACAGAGCTGCAGAGATCCCCATAGTAAAAAATGACTTTAGCATGGTGACAGTCACCCTAGGTAATCTGGAATTAACTGCTCCTTACCAAAGTACACCCAAATCATTCTTTAGATGAGATCCAAAGTTTTATTTCCATTTCACATAAAGAATTTGCATGCAATGTAAATATCAAAGAGGCTTATGTATTGATAATGGCTATTGCAGGATACCATTTTCAAAGATTGCCATTTATTTCTTTTGAACTGAGAGAGTTACTGGTATCATGCATGTTTGTCTACTAATCTAAGGTACAAGAATGCATATACCTCTTAGGCTTCTTTAGAATTCTGTTCACAAAGTCTTTTGACAGTATTATTTAAATAAAATAAATGTCAGGGTAATTTCCCACAATTGTACTTAGAAAATTATTAAAAAGAAATACCAATAACTATTCTCTCTAGAGAAACATGCATTAGAGACTGAAAGAATAATGTAATGCCTACCAATATTATGAACAATGTATTAAAATATCTTAAATCTTAGTTGGATAGATCAAATACAATTTCAGGAAAATTTCTTAGATTTGTTTTTTCTATCCATCTCACTGTGATGAGGTGAATCAAGATGTTTTAAGGGTTCGTGAATGACAAAATGCATCTAAGTACAGTATTGGAAATAAAATTTTATTTTATAAAATCCCTGTTATGCATTTTTGTTCTCTAAATAACAATGTATGTATTAAGTATATTATTTCATGTTTACTCAAAAATTTAATAGCTCTACCAATAAATTGGAAATTCCACAACATAATCAAAATTATTGTATTTTTCAAAAAGTGTCATAAGGTTGATTTATTCATGCGGTCATATATTAGTTAAGTACACACTAGAAAATGACATTAAATAAAGTACATTTTATTTTTATATCAAATTATCCTAATATTTTAAATATCCCAGAATATTTAACCAAGAAATTTTCTGTTGGTAAATGTGTACTAAGTACTTCATTTACATTATGCAGTTGTTTTCAAACCACTTTGTTATGAAAATACTGTGTCAGTCTGCCATTTGGCTGTTTTTTGCTTAATGTAGTAATAAATAAAAATTTTATCTTCAATGAACTCAATTTTGTGGTGGGATCTTATGAATAGTAAAATCACTTCCTTCAAGTTTCACTAAAAATAATTATTTTCATTTTTGCCAGTTGTTTAATGTTACGTGGTTAATCATGTACATCAATTCAGTATTCATCAGCGTAGTCCTTTACCAAAGCCCTATCATTGTGTAGACGCAATCAAAATATCATTCACTCATTCATTTATTCATTCATCAATGTGACAAAAAATATTAATGCCATCTTTGAATAAGTGCTAACTCCCTTCTGGGATTTATGTGTGAATACTGGTTATGGCCATTCTGGAAGCCAGCAAGAACTAAGTGGTGAGTTTAAAAACTCATTTCAATGACTTACTGCATTGTACAGTGGAAATTATACCATAAGAGAGGTAGAGAAAACTACTGTGCTCAGAGGAGAAATTGTATATTAAGCTGGAATATCAGAAGGAATAAGAGAGGGAAAAAATTGAACTGAACTTTGATTTGATATCTGAATGTTGTTAGGAAGAACATTCTTAGAGAAAGAATTAATATGTGCAAATGTATGGAAGCATGGAAAAAATCTTGGTAATTTTAGGGATAATGTAGTATATCTAAAGGAGATGATTCAGGAAATGTGCTAGAGCTATATTTAAGAATTTCTGCTGCCTCATCATATTGAAGATTTTATAGTAGGAAGGTAATTCAATTAAAAAAAATCTTGTATACAGTGATTTGTTTATAGCCATGATCCAGTAAATTTGGGGAAAGGAGTTATAGGATGACAGGAGGGCTATCATTTTGAAGTCACTTAAAATAATCCACATGAAAAATAATTAGGCCTTAATTGAGGAAGTAGTAGAGCTAAAAAAAAAGAAGAGCTAGATTGTAATGTTCACACTGTATAATGCTTGGACTCTGGCAACTAATTTGTTCAGAAGCCTAAAAGATTAATGGTTGGACCTCAAGGCCAAGGTGGTGTTAACAACAAGAAAAATAGAAGAGAAAACATGGTAAACAGAAGGAAAAATACACTAATTTCTGTTACAGTTCCATTAAATTTGAAATGCCAGTGGAATATCTTTCAAAATAAATGTATCGGGCCGGGGATTTAGCTCAGTGTTTCCACTGCCTGCCTCGCAAGCACAAGAACTGGAGTTCGATCCCCAGTACCAAAAATAAAAAATAATAAAATAAAATAAAATAAATGTATCAGAAATAAATACAGTTTTCAAAGGAATCGAAACTACAGAGTGAAAGGTATTCAATAAATTGATGGAAGTGGGTGGATCGGGCAGAGAGAATCAGAGAAATGCATGCAGAAGATCTCTGGATATGCAATAGAAAAATAGTTAAAGAATTTTAACCCTTCAAAAATGAATAAAAACTAAGCCATCAGATTAAAAGTTAAGTTGTTATATGTGATCCTTAGAACAGATTTTTGTCTGGAAAGCAGTTTGTAAGGACTTGTCAATTAGTGGACTTGCCAATTAAAGAAAGAAAGGAAGATTTGGAGAATGGAGCTAAGTGGTGCAGAGAATTCCAGAGATCTGTGTAAATAGGAGTGAAAACTAAAACCTCCAACCCAGGAAAACATTCAGGGATGGAATAGAAGGTCAGAGACTGTTGGATCAGAGGCATCAGAGGCAGTTCATCCAGAAAGAGGCCAATAAAATGGAGCCTCTGAGCAGGGGGGTGGTGAAAGAGGAAGGAAACAACATTTCTGGCGTATTGCATGTGGGGAAGAAAACTTTAAAAGTTGGCTTGGAAGGCTTCAGACTTGGTGAAATCTAGGCAAGAGTATTTGCTGAGTATTTGTGAGCTTTAACAGCTGGGAAAATAGCTTTCATTCCAAAGGGTTGGTGGTATTTCTTATTACCAGTATGAAAATCAGCTCAGGGTTGCTGTAATTTCATTTGTGTTTCTGCTTCTGGGCTTGGTGTGATTGAGTCACTACTTTCAGATGTGCCTAATTGCAGCTTACTTTGTTCCAGGCGCTGTGGCTACAGCAAAGCAAAGCAAGATCCAGAAGAGGAAAAGATGCATTTTCATAATGGGCACAGTAAGCAAATTGTACAAAAGAAAAAAAAAGAGACTTTTTTGCTATTTGTTTTCAGGGTAGAGGATTTATAATAACTGACAAAAATGTTACTAAAACAAGTGTCTGTTACATTATTATAAAGCCTGTGGCCATAGACATTGCTGACTTGGTATGGCAAAAGCAGCATGTTTTACTCAATTCTTTAAAAAATATTTTAATTATAATCATTGAAATAAAAACCTTTCCTCAGTACAAAAGCTATTATATTCCAAATCAAATTCCCATACTTATTCTAATTCCTAGCAACATAGCAAGCAGAAATCCATCGTTCAGTCACACCTCTAGGTTAAATGAGCAAAATTTCTGTTGTTTCTTCTAGTTTTAAAATGCGAATTTCCCTTAGAGAATCTTGTGGCATGGGCCTTTGTTCAAATGACTTAAAAAGGACTACATTTTTAAGAAATGCATAAATTCAGGTTTTAATAATGAGCTTAAAATTGGTTTAAATTAGTTCTAATTATGGTATTTTAGTATGTTCATTTTCTCACAGAATACAAAGTAAGTTGATTTGCCAAATAAGTGAGTTTCTTTTATTTTTGTCACTGTCCCATGACCGTAACATGTCAAAAAGCATTGATTCCATTTCATTGTCCTTGCATTAATATGGATTATCATCGAAAAGCTCTATGAGTGAGATACTGGTAGTCTTCGAAGTGATAAAATGAGGTTCAGGGAATACAGAAGTCTTAGAAAATCATGCAGTGACAGAGGCAGGGTAAGGAGTAGAACCTCTTTTGTTCTTTTAACTTCTAACCAGTCTAATTGCACTGTACGACTAATATTTTATATTAGTTAAAAAAATTAAAATTAATAATCTGTGATTATCAATGAAGCAAATAGCACACCAACATATGAACCACTAGCATTTCATTTTCCAGGTTAATAAGTAAAATGTTCTTAAATTCTCTCAGAGACCAACTTTGTGAATATTATCATTGAAAGATATATTTACTCAGCTGTCATCAAATATACATTTCTTGTGCATGGCAATAATTCAGGAATTTTAAATTGTAAAAGTGATATAGTTATATAAATGATTCTCATAAGTCAGGAGACAGTCTGTCCTTGTTGCTCAGCTATTTCTAGGAATTAGAGATTTAAGCCAGACTAGCATGTTAATAAAATTTATAATTTTGCTTATCCATCATAACTTTAAATTTGATGCCCATTTATTTTTATAGTTAAACTGCCTGGAGTAAGAACCTATATTGATCCACATACCTATGAAGATCCCAACCAAGCTGTCCATGAATTTGCCAAGGAGATAGAAGCCTCATGTATCACCATTGAAAGAGTTATTGGAGCAGGTAGAACAATGTGTTTAACCCTGACTTTTAACTTGTGTTATTATTATAGAATGCAACCTGTGCATGTCTTGTTTTAATACCAAATATTTTTAATATTTCTTAGTTGACTCACTTTCAAAGTGATATGTGATTGGGCTGGAGATTTAGCTCAGTGGTTCTGCTGCCTGCATCGCAAGCGCAAGATCCCAAGTTTGATCCCTGGTACCAAAAAAAAAAAAAAAAATGATATGTGATTGATGACATTTTACTGCAACCTTCTGGATATGTTTCTCTTTGAATTGATAATGAAGTTTGGATTCCCCATTTTTACCTTATTTTTGTCTAAGCTTTGATCCTCCAAGAGTATACTAGAGTAGTATTAGAATAAGAATTTCCAATAAGTTTCTGCTACCCCCCCCATCTTTATCACAAGGTGAATTTGGTGAAGTTTGTAGTGGACGTTTGAAACTACCAGGAAAAAGAGAATTACCTGTGGCTATCAAAACCCTTAAAGTCGGTTATACTGAAAAGCAGCGCAGAGATTTCCTAGGAGAAGCAAGTATCATGGGGCAATTTGATCATCCTAACATCATCCATTTAGAAGGTGTTGTGACTAAAAGTAAGTATCTGTCAAGATTGCTAGGAATTTTTAACTTAATTTTTATTTTTATTTCAGTACTTGATCATTCATTGTCAGAGAAAATGTATAAAGATAAAAAGATGCAGTAAAAGTATCAACATTGTTTTTCTACTGGCTTTTCCACTTTTTACACTAATAAAATAATGACTTCAAAGTTCAGGCATTGAAGTTTTACATTTAATAGGATTTCTGTATCCACAGGTGCCCTGTCACCTTTTAAGCAATTTTGTAGCCAGGTGCATTTATTTTATTCATTTTTAGTTAAAATTTGTTAATGGCTGTAGAGAAAACAACTGCCTCAGGAGCCTGGCAAAGTTCCTTGAGACTTATTTTTTTTGTTATGCTTGTTAAATCAAATCTAGTTTTCACTCAGAGATATCTAGAATTACACATCTCTTTTAAATTTTTGTTAGTATCTTGTAAAATTATCTGTGTAGTATGCCTCCCAATAAAGATTTCTAATTGTTCTCCAGTCATGTAATAAAGAATTTATGTGACCCCAAAATGAGCTTATTTTCTTTTAGTCCATTTATGCTTTTTCACTCCTACGTATTTTGTTTCCTAACTTTGTCCCTTTTAGCATAACATTTTCTAAACTTTCTTTGAGCATTTATGAAGCCTCCAGTTTCTGTAAATCATGTTTTGAAGTATAATTGTCAGAGTATATGTACATGTAATATGTGTTCAATAATGCTGTATTTCTACCTAATCTAAATATATTTAATGTACATTTATTCCATTTGACTTTTAAATATAGAAAACAAAACAATAACTTTTCACAATAAAGAGGGAGCTAGGAAACATAACACAATACTTAGGATCCTCAGCTCTTTATTTGTTTACAATGAGCTACAGATAGGAATGCAGAAGCCCCTCCCATGTCCTAGGAATTGACCACAGCAAAAAATATCTTGTGGATGATTGATAGAAATTTTGAATCAGTGTATATTTCCAGGAGATTGTTCTTTTCGGTATTTCAAGGACACACATATCTTTAGTTAAGATGCTCCTAGGCCAGTGGAGTAAAGGAAAAAAAATAACCTGTAAAGATGTGGATTTCCTCAAAACATAAGAGATGTTCCTTCCTTAAGTTAACTACATGCCATAGATTATGTTTCACTTCATGACAGCCCGGAGAGGAAATTGTTGGAGTAAAAAGGGCATTCAGAGAAGTAAATAGGAAAAAATAATAAGTTGCTAAACAAAAGTGGGACAAAGAAGAGATGGGTAGAAGACAATAAAAAAATCATAATTTTTGAAAGGAATAAAAAATATTTTATGACATTGATATTGTGGTAAATGTGTGGTAATATTTGAAATAAGATATGTAAAAATATGGTCACATGTATAATTAAATAAAGTCAGAATTTGAGTTCAGTACATTGTATTGCAGTAGAAGCACTTCAGAGGGTATCAGTGGTAGCGGATGGTCACGGACACTGCAGGTGGGTGCAGTGGATCACTCCCTACTCTCATCAACTTGGGAGGCAAAAGCAGGAGAATTGAGCCAGGAGTTCAAGCCAAGCCCAGGAAGCAGTGAGATTCCTTCTCAAGAATAAATAAATAAATCATAATACATTTATTTTCTATGCAAGAGTCTTATCAACTAATATAAAATATAGTTCTTAGTGATAATGGTAGTAATAAGAGTAAGCAAAGATTTGATAAACTTCATGTCTTCATTTCTTGCTTTACCTGGCTTCTAAATTTAACTTCCTAAAAATAAACTCTCACTATGCCTTCCCATTACCCAGAGTAAATGTATGCTTTGTAGGCAGCTGGTCTACCTTCTGTAATGAGTTAAGATGTGATGTTTTTAACCGTGACAGATCACTGTTACTATCAAGGAAGCCCATATTATGTACTGATCAAGAACAGGGACTACAGATCTAGTAATTCTATTTTAATTTTAGTTCTGCTATAAAATCGTATGTGGTTTGGCAAAACTTAAACATTCAAAACTTTAATTTCCTCATTATAATGTTATTATAGAGATGGTTTGAAGTAATACAGGTGAAATTTATAACAGAAATGGCAGAGTAAGTAGTGACAGTTACCTAGTTATATTTCAAATTAACTCTCTTCCTATGCTAAGATCTCCTCTATTTCTATATTATTTTTAACCTTGTTAATGTACCTTATATTTTATTGCCTATGTTGCTTCTTTCTCTGAAATTTACACCCACGTGTTCATTACCTTGACTTGTCATTGCCTTCAAAATCCACTCACATTCAATCCACCCCATGAAACAATTGTTTTTCACTTTGCTTGGAAGTAATCTTTCATTCTTGAATGCTGTGCCTATACTGTATAAGAATTTTTGCAAGCCTATCATGTTATTTCTTTTGGTTAAAAGGTCTTATTCAAATCAAACGTCTTAATTTTATAATCATTTATATATATTTTTCATCTCCCTACCGAAACAGTGTATGTTCTTTGAAGAGATAGATAATGTCCTAAATATTTATGTAAACGTGTTGTATCAAAATCTATGTCAGTCCATGGATGGCTTACATTAAATACCTTCAGGCTCAATATCACAGAAAAAGGAGAATGAAACAACATCTACCTTAATAAACACTCATAGAAATTAAATCTGCATATGTGTGTAGGTATGCATGAACAAAATTGCAGACAATTATATTAGCGAAGTGTATATTTTAATTGATTTCAGCCAGTGTATCACATAACAGCAAACAGTGTCCAAATATATATCTACATTTACAGACTCTTGATTTGTTACATTACAGGTCTTGTTTTACATGTCTGAGTACTGACTGAGCTAAAACCAGGAAAAATTCTTATTTTAATACAGCCAAAATCTGAGCATATATTTTACATGCATTTAAAACCTTTTATTTTCAGAAGCTAGTATTAATATAAACAAATGATCATATATAGAATCTGTGAATTCTACTCTAAAATGCTACTGTGTTTGGAAAGATATTTTTCAGTTTCCAATATTCTGTTCAAGTATTCTGTCTGATGTTGCTGCCACCATAAGGCTACACATATAAGGAGAGCGAAATGTAAATACTTAAAATATGTCTCTGTTTTTAACTTTCTTGCCTGGGTAAATTGACACTGTAACATATTCTTTTACATGTAGCTCGAGATGTTCAACTTAGGAACCTTCAACTTATTTTTAATTTACCATGTTGCAACTTACTTTATTTGTGTCCTTAATTTCATGCTCTCTGATCTGATGCTAATTTATTGAGCAATTATTCTCAACCTGCAGCTCACAGATAATGAGACATAAGTGCAACCGAATCTTGTGATTTTTCTGATTGAAGCTGAGTTGGGGAGTCTGAAGCAGCACCCCATCAGTGGTGCTATCCAGAACCTTGGTCTTTCCTGCCATAAGGCCAGAAGCTTGCACCTGGCCCCCGCAGATTCCTTCTATGACTTGTTGTGAGAGGATGCCTCATAAATAGATATACAGATAGCTCTAGAGAAGTTTCTTCACAATTGATGTAAAAAACCCACAGGTCCTGCCATAATTGACTTATTTACAATTCAAGACACTTTAGTGAAATGTACACAGTGCCAGATTTTTACTATTTAATGAGATTCAGAAAAAAATAAAAGGAGAAAAAAAAATTTCCCATTACAACATACAGATTTCTTCTCCCACCAGTGGAAATTTACCCAAACTGACTAAAGAAATGTTTCTATTGAGGCTAAGAAGTACTCATAGCTTTATTTCTTAATTTAGAATCATGTACAAAATAAGTTTATTTCTTGTATAAAATTAAAACATTTAAATAAATTAGAGGAGTCTCTTTTTCTGTGTCCAAAGAGATTACACATTTACTGAACAGTGATTACTTATATATCTGGAAAAGTTTGACTTACTATGCATTTATAATTATCTTTCAAATATATTATTTTGTTCTCTTACAAGGTTATTTTCTTTTTATGATTTTTTAAAATTTAATTTTGTTGGTACATTTTAGGTATACAATAAAATGACATTCATCATTAGAGATCCGCACCTTTACATAATCTCTCTTTGTTCTTATTTTTCCCCATTAACCTGCCCTTCCTTCAACCTCTCCATTCCTCCCTGTTTACAAAGACTTTGTTTCTGATTTTTCTTTTTCTCATATTAATTCCATACCCTTCTTTACTTTCCCCCACTCCTCCCACTTCCTCTTCCCCTTTGCTCCTTTTCTTCTGATTTCACAATATCTATCATACCTTTTTAGTCCTTATTTACACTTTCAGTTTCTCACACTAGAGAAACTATTTGATATTTACACATGTGTGTCCTATTTATTTTACTTAAGAATATTGCCTCAATATGCATCCATTTAGCAATAAATGTCTCTAATTTCTAATTTTTTTGGCTCAGTAGTACTCCATTTCTCCATTTTATAAAAAAGCCCCAAATTTTCTTTATCCATTCTCCAGTTGATGGGCATTTGGGCTGTTTCCAAGTATTAGCTATTACAAACTGTGCTGCTATGAACATGAGTGCACATATATCACTGTGGTATGATTCTTTTAATTCTTTGGGGAAGATACCCAGCAGGGGAATAGCCAGATCAAATGGGACTTCCAGTCCCAGTTCTTTGAGGTAACTCCATACTGATTTCCACAGTGGTTGCACCAGTCTACACTCCCACCAGCAGTGGAGCAGGGTTCCTCTTTCCCCACAGCCCCACCAGCATTTGGTATTGGTTGATTTCATGAGAGCAGCCATTCTTTCTGGGGTGAGGTAGAATCTCAGCATTTTTTCATTTGCATCTCTCTATTGAACAATGATGTTGAACAGTTTTTCATGTGTTTATTTACTATTTCTACTTCTTTGTCTGAGAAATGTCTGTTCATTTCAGATGCCCATTTTTGGATTGGATCTTTAAATTTGGGAGATCTGATTTTTTTAAGTTCTTCATAGATTCTAAATAGTAGACTTTCTCTGAGGAACAGCAGGTGAAAATTTTTTCCCACATTATGGGTTGTCTCTTCACAC